ATCCTCCTTTAATCTTTTTTTTTAATTTTTATAAACATTGATTATTCATTTATGTTTGCATTTAACATAATCCTTTCATTTTCCCTAACTCTTCTTCATGAACTGCTCATCATTCAATCTATTTTTCTCCATCTTCATCACTTGATTTGTTTTTCATTTCATAAATTGTTAGTTTTCAACAAATATATTTTCAAGTTTATTTCGAGAAGACTAATTCAGGTATGCGTTCATTTTTATTTTTGTTGTGATTTTAGATTTTTTTTACTTTTCTTTTCTATAATTGTCCTAAGTTTTCTTAATGAAACAGAGTGTTTGTTCTTGACAACATATTTAGAGTTTTCATGGCAACAATGGTTCGATTAATGATCTGATGATGRAATCTTGAAAGTAYTACCAACCATGATGTAGCCTCAACAAACTTCAACATGTTTTTGTAATGGTTATCTTTTTTCAAGTATACTTTGAGAAAACTAATGTGTGTATGCATTTCTTTTGACTTTTGTTGAGATTTTAACGTTTTTTTTTGTTATAATTTTTTATGTAGCATCAATAAACTTCAACATGTCCTTTTTTAATGGTTACATTTTCTTTTAAAGATTTATTTCGAGACGATTAATCCGAGTATGCAATTCTTTTTAATTTTGTTGGGATTTTAGAGGTTTTTTAACTAATGTCTAAGGTGGTTTCTTCTAAAGCCTCCTCATTTTTCTTTTTTTCATTCATTCTCTCAATATCCACTACTATATTTTTTTTGTCAATTTATGTTTTTTTTTTCTTAAATGTATGCATTCAACTCCAAACAATCCATCTCATTCTATATTAATTCTAATGACATAACTCCAAACCATTCATTTTTTCCAATCAATCATTTATTTTTATATATATAAACAACTATTTATTCATCTTCATCTCTCACACCCTCTCAAATTTTATCTCAATCCTATACATCTCTAAACTTATTTTATTTCACTTTGGTTTTTCTTCTTTTTTACTATTAATAATATTCATAGGTTTTTTTATTTTTTCACTTCTCCCGTAATTTTATGTATGTTTGTATCGTTATTTAGATTGCATTATTGTTTTTATGCATTATGTCATGAARATTTGAAGAAGTCTTSAAGTTCAATATTTGATTTTTTGGTTGCAATATAAGATAATAATTTTATATTGATTTGTTTCATGATTTTGATTGCATTATAATTTTATTTATGTTTGTATCGTGATTTTTGTTTACAATATAACTCTTATGTATTAGGTGAAGATTTAAAATATTCAAATTCACTATGTAATTTTTACTTATGTTGAACGTTTTTTGATTCGCAGGTTTTCGAGTTTTTTAACGTTTATATATCAAGTTTTGAAAATTTGAAGTTTTCAAGTTTGGATTGTRGGAATTTATGATTATGATCTAAGGTAAGGATTTTATACAAGTATGTTTTGTAATTTAGAGTGTATTAGAATGTTATATATGTTTGTATCAAGATTTTGATTGGATTATATTTTTAAGTATGTTCTTATCGTAAGTTTAGTCGTATTATAATTTTATGTATGTTCATGTTGTGATATTGATTGCATTATAGTTTTATCTATTGGGTTATAAAGATTTGAAGTCTTTAAGTTTGATATGTAAATTTTTACATATCATATGGTTGGTCCATTCATTATTGTGTTTTTTAAGTCAAAGTGTGTGTTGAGGATGAAAAATGGTACATGTACATCATCCTTTGAATGAGACATATCTTTATGTGGGGTATTTTTTATTCTTGAGTTTGTGTCAGATTTCTTAATATTCCCATCATTATTATTATTCATTTTATTTAGTTTTACAACTTTATTAATAAACAAATCTCTCTCTCAATATACATATATATATACATACATACATACGTGTGTGTATATATTAAAATTTCACTAACTATATTTTATTTAACTTTTTCGAATTATTTGAATACGATTGTTGATGTATCTATTAACAATTAATATATATTTACATAGACAATCATCAGATCATTAATCAAAGTACTCATATTACCACGCAACGCGCGGTTCCCATACTAGTAGAAGTAAAATTTAATGCTGGTGTCTAACGTTTTTAATTTTCAACGGATATCCTCTCTAAGTTTTAAAAACTTGAATCTGGTCTCCTATTTTATCAATTTTCTACGATTTGATTTTGTTTAACGGTCGTTGAGTTTAGTTAAATAAAAGTATTTTAGTCATTTTCATTATTTTATTAATTATTACACATTTTCCATGATTGTGTTAAAAATTACGATTTATGTATAAACTTGGGGCCTATTTATTCGATTAATAATGGGATATAGAATTATTTGAAAAAAACAAATAAAGTAAAAAAAAGGAAGCCTGAATATAGTAGGGTTTATTCGCGCGATAAACCTCACAAAAATTCTTTTCGTTGTCGTCACCTTCTGTGTTCGCTGCCTCCGTTTCTCTAGGGTTTCGCCTGAGCAAATCAGGTCAAACCTCCGGATCTCAAGAGGTAAGCTCCAATTCCTTTCTTCGTATAATTTCTCACCACTTTCTTCATGTCAATTTCCCTTTTTTCATATCAAGTTTCTTAATGTCTTTGTGATTGAGCTCCTCCTAACTTTTATTTTTTTGTTTTAATTGGAATTACAGGTACATGGATGAGCAATTACAGAGTAAGTTATTGTTTCTTCATGCTGATCGTTACTGATTTTGTTAGGGTGTCTAGTGGATTGCAAATTGGTTTGAGAAATTGATTACGAAAAGGTGTTATCATTGGCATTGTTTACGAAACTGGTGAAGAAGGGATTTGAAGCGATTGTCTTTATAATCGTACATGATTAATACAGCTTGTGTTGTTGCAAATGGAATTTTGCATGTGAATTTGAAGGATTTTAATTGTTCATACTATTCGAGTATGGGTTGTGCTCAATGAGTGTTATGTCTTATGTTTGATCACATTGTAGCGTGGAAATGAAGTTATGTTGTCTTAAAGTATTTTCAAACTTATATCATGTGCAAAAGCGGTAAGAGAATAAGAGATAAACTATTGTAAATATATCAAGTGAAGGTAATGGTGAACAGACCCACAATATGAATTTGCAATTCGTTAAAATGCATTGAAGCCTTAGGGACATGGAATATTTAAATGTTTTAAATACCTGATAATAGGAATGGAGTTGGTTGATGCTTCCATTGTAACAAAAGATTCCCCTTTTATGTGGCTTATATTGGATGGACCAACGGAACCAATGCTTTGGAATCTGATTGGCTTCTTTTATTAAGACATAGTATATCCTTTGTATGGCAGCCTATCATGCACATGGATATCTTGGTAAGTCAATATTGATTTTTTTAGTCATACATATTGATTTAGAAATTGGCAAGAAGGGTTATAAATGAAAGACAAAGAAGAGAGCTATACATTGGGGGGGGGGATCAACAGACATGAGAGTGCAACAACATCATTAAAATTTATAGTATAATTGTAAAAAGGTGGATTCCTGTAAACCCAGTGATATGACTGGTTGTGTTAAAAAAAAGTAAAAGTATGTTAAGAATCGTATGTTCTCCTCTAAGCAAGATATACATTGAGAAGGATTATCGTATGGCTGTTGGTGAATCATTATTTGAATCTTGAGGTAATAAGAGCTGCAGAAGCAATTTTGTTATAGGAAAAAAGGAGTATTGAAGCAAAGATATTTAAGAATACTAAGCAAAGATTGAAGAGTGGATGGTGGAAGTGCATTTATTGGTTGTGCTTGCAGCAAGAGGCAAATGGTTCTAAGTTCTTGTACTTCGTGGCTTTTTCTTCCTTACTAGTGCATTTATTTGTAAACCTCTGTTTTCCTTCTCTCAGCATGTGCTCTAGTAAACAGTTTTCTTTTGAATCATAACCATATATTTTACAAGTTTAAGACTTGTTAAAATGGATGGTGGTGCCCCTGTTGTATTGGGACATGCAGTTTGGTAAAAAGTTTATAATGGTGGAGCCATTTACCCATATCAAGGATTCATTATGTACAGTTGGTATATATATAATTTTTAATATTGGTAGGATTTTCTATTTAGAAACAAAGTAAAGAATGTCTTTCGGAGCTACCAGGGGATGAAAGATCGTCATCTTGCATTCAGTTACCATCAGCTTTGGATCTGAAAATGGAACTGCATGTGTTTTGATGATTGATTTGGAATTGAGTTGTGGAAGTAGAATTGTGATTTGCATTGATGAAGTGGAGTTCTGAACCACAAAATGCATGAGGTGCATGGAGGAAAGGATTCAGTTTACAATACTCATCATTGTGTGCCCCTCTTTGTGACAATTAGACAATGAACTCCGTTCTTGAAGGGATTTCTGGGACAAGTGCTTTCTGACTTTGGAGGATCAATGCAAATAAATACTTTGGGAGGATTACTTGCTGTAAAAGTGGAGTTATTAGTCACAGAAGAAGTCTACTAGCACCAGATATGCACTCCTATCTTTGGTTTTCTTTCAGTTTTAGTATTCTATAAGCTTGGTATGGAAAGGATAAGAAATAGGTGGAGTCATTACGTCTCATGAGAATTAGCATCAACTTCTTCCTTGACCAGCACTAGAAGCGCATCTGCAAGTACAATGACAAGGAGCCTTAACTTAGTAATCCCATCCCAGATTCCTTTCATCTTTTCGAACTGAGTTTAAGATTCTTCTTGTTTCAACAGATGCAAATTCTTTTTTATTTGAAAATTTTAGTGGCCATCCATGGTAGAAAATGATCTGCCATTTTCTGCCATGCTGCAGCTCTCTTAAAGAGAACACATTAATTGTTTTTAGTTTTGTATGTGATTGTGTTAAGTAGCCTCAAGTCAAGCTCATCATTTGTTCTTTCTCAGTGAACAGTTCAACAAAACCACCATTAATGATAGGATGAGCCCTAGATAGAGCTTAGGAGAGATGAAACAGTGACAAGGATGGTCATTTAGTTGAAGATCTAGTGGGTGGAGGGGTGATTCCGTGGAAGAGTCATAGGTGTTGGGAGTTGAATCAATGTATTTGCAGAATTTACCATTGGAAGAGAAATGCAGATGAACTATTTAAGAAAGAAATTTAAAATTTAATGAAAACAAGAATTATAGAATGAAGATTGGAAATACACAAGATCCAATATGATCATATTTTTGTAGCCATTTCATTATGTTTTTCTACAAATATAGGAACACCCTATGACTCTTGGGACAGTGGAAAGGTTTGCATACATCTTAATTCTAGCTTCTACAGTGTGAAATCAGAATGACTTGTTTTTGTGTCAACTTCTGGTCAAAAGTTAGAATTTTGGTGCACTTTCTCAAAAGTAAAATTTCTATCTAGACACCTTTTTTTTTTTGGGGGGGGGGGGGGAGGTATTTGATTGTGAGGGGAGCGTTCGGTAGGAGGGTAGAGGGTGGGTTGGGAGAGGGGTGAAGGTCTTTAGATAGGCTTTGTGCTATTTAGCTAGGGAGGCTCTTTGCGATCTTTTTCTATTTCTGTCTCCAATTTTGTTATTCTTTGAAATAATGTGGCTTTTAATGATCCTTTCCGAGTCTTTTCCTAATTCTTTTTCGAGCAAGTCGGGGGAGGGGTCTCAAAAACAGCTTCTCTGCCTATTGGGTCAGTGGAAAGGTTTGTGCACATCTTACACCCCACCCCCAACTACCGGGTGAGTTATATCGGGGATTCTTTGGTTTGGTTTATGGAGGAAATGGTTTGGCAGGACAGTAACAAATTGATGGGGCTCACAAAATAGAGAATAGGAGGAAATGATGAAAAGGAATTGAATCGAAACTTGTGGGTGGTTTCATTTTCATTTATGTTTCCAAGTGCATTGCCTGTTAGGATATTTTGTCTTGCAGAGCTTGATTGAAAGAATGTTAGATTTCTTTGGTTTCTTGTTTCTATTATGGATTCTTGCAGTATTCGTAGGTTCACATTTTGTGTTCTTTAACCTGTGTTAGAACTGATTAACTTTTTGGCTTCAATTAGTAAAACATTGAAATGTTGCAGGTGTGTCAAATTGTTATGTATTTAAAAGTCGGTTGCAAGAGTATGCTCAAAAAGCAGGACTCACAACACCTATTTATCGTACAATCAAGGAAGGCCCTTCGCACCAGCCATTATTTAGGTCAACTGTGGTCGTAAATGATGAAAGTTACCATTCTCTGACTGGATTTTTGAATCGCAAGGCGGCTGAACAATCTGCTGCTGAAATTGCTCTCATTGAAATTGCCAAATCTGGGGCCACAGACAAAAGCGTTTCTCATCCCGTGGTAACTATTACTTTGTCAATACAGTGAAAACTTTCCAAACTCATAATCTAATTATGTTGGTCATTCCCTATTTTCAATACTAGGAAGCAGCTGTACTTCTATCATATGTTGAATTCTGGTGGGAATACATGATTGGGGTACAATGGAAGGGTAATTTTGACCTCTTTTAAAATATAGAGCGATAAAAGTTCAGAAATTTATAACTAGTAATTGAGGCTGAAATTCCAAAAAAAAGCTTGTCTTATGCCTAAGGAGACAGGATATACACCGAATTCTTTTTCCTTTATCTGAGAGTAATATAGTATTAATAATTTTTAGGCCTACTAAATAGAAGTAGAGACAATATCAGCCACAAGACTTAAGTTTAAGTATGCATTTAGTTTTGTTAAATGTAGGAATGGTGAGATTGTTTCTTCTTTTATTGGTTGGCTTTCAAACTTGTATAAACATATTTACATTTACGCGCATGTAAACGTGCCCTTGTATCATTAATGTTTTAGAACCATTGAATCCTAATATCGACATTCTTTTGGCAACATAGCCATTAAGGATACTTCTATGTGACTGGGAGGTTAGTTTCCAGTGGTGAGCAACAGGGTTATCCTCTTGCAAAGCACAAAAGAAAGGCTACCTCTAAAAAACCTTCCATTCCCACTCGTTGCTAAGCCAAACGTAGTTCACCAGCAATCAATTATGACTAGTATTTATTATGGTTTAATTGCAGTTATCAAATATTTAATGTAAAGCACACTATGCATATCAATGTTGAACAAAGTAATTCCTTTAATGGAATCTTGTAAAATGTATCAATTTGATTCTGTTTTAAATCTTCTCTAGTCTCTCTCTGGCTGTGCACGCCTCTTGTATATGAATGAAATGGTACTTCTTGGCATTTTAGCATTAGAAGGTTCTAATTTTATTTTGTCTAATTGTGTACGCATACATATTGCTTTATGTAAGACTTGAGATCCAAATATGAGACCAGATGGTGAAAACTTTTGTAGGTGCCCACCCATTAATGCTGGGTTTAGGAGTGGACCTAGTTAAGAGCATACGGTGGCATGTGCCACCACCACTTCGTGGTTCCATCTTAATCGGAAAAAAAAATACTTTTCTGAAGGGTGTCACCATATTGTTTGTTCGGTGCCCTTGTATTTTTTGAAACTACAATATTGGCACAAGTTCTTGATGGCAGAGATGGTTAGCATGCTGCCCTTTTGTCCAAAGGGTGCAGGTTGGAGTCCTGCATTTATTTATTTTAGCTTAAATATTGTGTTATTTTCTGTGTGTATGTAAAAAAAATGCAAAAGACAAGGCCATTGCAAGATTCGAACATGGTTCTTTTGGCAAGGGCAAGAAACCAACCAGCAGATCTGTAACAATTTTATGAAAGATTTTGATAGATTTCTTACTTATAGTCAAATGGTGCACCGCTTGAAAACTTTTCTAGGTCCACCCGTGGCTGGATTCCCCTGGTGGTTCAACGGAAGGTGGTGAGTTTGTTAGAAAAATTGTCTATAGATGTGAAAATCTGAAGAAATTACCTTATATTTTTTTTTGTGCTTACACATGCTACTATACTAGATTGGTGGGATAGATTGATTTTTGAATGCTTGGAGGTCAGAATCACATAAAGTTTCACATGTTCTATTTCTTTTGTTAGCAAGTAAATGCCAAACATACCCATGTTTTCTTACCTTTCGTAGGGCAGCCATTTGCTCACAGGTCCATATGTAGGAAAAAGAATCGTGAATCTTTACGTAGTAAATTAGAGGCTCTAGCTTACCCTGTTGATTGTTGTGATTTGATTCTCCTTCCCTTTTGCCATCTGAATAACTAGAGGCCGTTATAATTTGTGGATAAAGGAACTTTTTGTTGGTCTATTTGTTTACATCATGTTCGTTTACAATCTTTTGACTCGGATAAAATAGGTGGCCCGTTGGAATATTTGAGTGCAGAAAGGTCTCTATGGAGACAAAAGGGTCATTTGCCCAGCGGTATCTCGGGTTACCGGTAGAGCTGGGCAGCTGGCCTCCCAGTAGGTCAAGGTTCAAATTGTGCGAGTATTTGCCATATATAAGTATTATACATTTTAAAGGTCTCTATGGAGAAAAGTTTGAGAAAACTCAAAATGAAATAAGAAACTATATATATATATATATATATATATATATATATAGTTGGACCAAAAACTTTTAGCAACTGAAATGGAGATTTGTTTGTTCTCTGTGCTATTGAGAAATTACTTTAGGCCACTTTTTGTTAGATTTTTTTATTTGAGCACTTTACCATATGTTCTCTGTGTTTCAAACGGCTTGTCATGGCTCAATGCTCGTCTTTCATACCATGTTAAGCCCGTGACACGTCGTGACCTGATGCATGGAACGGCTGATCTTTTATGTTTTTAGGTTTTAGTTTTATAACTTGATTTAAATTGTTTAATATCATCGATTCATTAAGTATAGTAGAAAACAAGTGTGTGTGTGTGTGTATATATGATATACAGATTTGCTGCCATAAGTCACATTTGGAAAACGCCATGGCTCGTAAGTCACGCAGAATGGTGGTCATTTTTTCTAATAGGGCTATTATACTTTCTTCAGCTGATTTTGTTTTTCTCGTGGATTTTTGTAGCATGAAACGGGATTATGCAAAAATCTACTTCAAGAATACGCACAAAAGATGAACTACGCTATTCCATCCTATATCTGCACAAAGGACGAGAAAAAGGGCAGAGAATCCCCGTTTTCTTGCACAGTCGACATAGGAGGAATCAAATACATAGGTGCATCAGCCAAGACAAAGAAGGAAGCCGAGCTTAAAGCCGCAAAAACCGCACTTTTAGCTATACAGATGAGCGCACCTGAACCTAATGGAAAACCTGACACACCCGATACAGAATCCATATATACGGTGGTCCCCACCAAACGGAAGGCACCTGAGCGGCCCGTGGTGGAAACCGAGGAAAAAGTGAAAACGAATAAAAGGAAAAAAAGCCGGTTTCACAAACGACGGAAGAAGAAAGTTGAAGCATCGGGTGACGTTGAGGTCAAAACGAATGATCCTTCTGCTGCGGAAGTCAATGATTTGAAGTCAAACGGAGGAAGCGTTTTGGTAGGGTGTGGTAATCCGGGTTCAGTCTTAGAGTAGGAATCATTGTGGGGAGATAAAATTGGGAGATTTGGAGTTAGATTTAGATGTGATTTTATTATTATATGAATGGAATTGGTTGGGATGTAGGAAGGAACGTCTTGGTGCCTTTTGAGCTTGAAGGCTCTTAAGAGTTTGTTATTGTAACTATTATTACTACTTTGATGGTGACTGGTTGGTATGCAATGGAATCTCGGTTTATTTTGTAGAATTGGTGGGGTGGGGTGATTAAGGTTCAAGAATAGGGGAAATTATAACCGTTTCTAATTCGTTTCTTAGCCATTTAATTTAATTTTCCTGATTCATCTAAATGTCACTACCTTCGCAATCCATTTATAGGCCTAACTAAAAGACAAAAAAGAATTACAATTTCTACCTAGGTCTGCAAGTGGGATAGGTAGAAATTGTAAATTTTTTGTCACCGAGAGAAATGGTGGCTTAGAAGACCAATCTATGTAAGAGAAATAGATGACTATTTCGGTCAATTTCTCCAAGAACAAGGGTGTTAATAGTGAATAAAAATCAGTTATCCCAAAATTTACTGTTTGTTTCATATTCTATCAATCAGGTGAAGACACATTTTATTTATTACTTTATTTTATTTATGATTATTTTCTATTTGATGATATGTATTCGTTTGATTGGTAAAATTGAAAGGATGAATTTTGGGATAAATGGATTTTCTATAAGGTCTTTTCTGTACCAACTACCAAGTATCGTGTCGATTATGATTTCTTCTTTTTCTTTCATATTTTCTCTATTTTTTAGAAGAACTTAGCATAACTGTTAGAGCAAACTTTTCTTAAATCTCTGAAATTTCTAAAATAACATAGTTGTCGGAGATGCTCTTAAATTTTTTGTCATACCCCCTCTTATAGAAGGTATGTGAGTGAGGGAGGGAGGGAGGGAGGGGTTAAGAACTATTATATATGAGTGAGGGGTATGAATAGCAACCCCTAAAATTCCAAATTCCTATAGTTTTGATTAAGTTGCCAAATTAAGTTAATAAGGGCATCGATATAATTTGACAAAATTTAGTTAACAAGCAGTGATTAAACTTACCGCGATAATTATAGTGATTGAAACAACGTATATCTAGAGAAAAGAAAGAAGCGATAGTGAATAACCAAACAAATGCTGAAGGATAGAAGAGGAAACACTACTTTGCACCGGTGGATAATGAAGTATTGCAATTTTATCCGAGAGAAATACGATCAAGATTAAGATGGCTCAACAAATGTTTGATACATGCTCGATAGAAATGTGATACTGCTGAAAATATTCGAGGAGATTGAGTTCCTATTAATGGAGACTGTAATTAATGTTGTGAGGTGGAGTACGAGCTTCTGAGCAGCATACCGCAATAGATGTATACACCTCAATTAATGTAACAACCTTATTTACCATCATTTATTTTTTAGAGTTAAGTCTTTGCGAGTCATTTTTTTCGTTTATGTTTTAACAGATAAAATATGTATAATTATTTTTTTAAAATTAGCAGAGAAGGAAAATAATAAAACTGAAAATGGGAAAATAATAAAACAAAATAAACCTTCGCTTACGGCAAGGGCATATGCGTGGTTTGTGCCATTTTCTATTTATTGCATTAAATTAAAATAAATTAACCTCTTTATTTTAATTAATTATAATTTTGTACAAATATTAATATTTCTTCAATAAATTATACGTCACAAATATCAATGGTTTAAATGATTTAACAAGTATAAGAATTTTCAATTGTAAACTTTTTATTTTTAGGCAACCATGGTTTTTACGAACCGACTAATCCTTTGAATGACTATAAATAACTTAGAGTCATCGTGGGTAAACCTCCTTGGTCATAAAGCTTCTGACAGAAACCTGTTTTTCATTGTGAACTTAAAGACAAAGTATAGCACGACATGTGTCCTAATTTGCTCTCATTTATCATGAATAATGAATGTAGCTTTTTTTCACAATTCATGATAAATATCCTGTGAGTGTTTAGGACACGTGGTACACTCTTCTTTGTCCCCAGTTTCATAATTGCAACTGAACTGGCCCATTATGAAATATATATATATATATATATATATATAGATAGATATATATATTTGGATGTTTATAGATATTGATACTAGATGAAGAGTCATGTGAAAAATATGAGTTAAGGTTAGAAATATGAGAAGTGATTTGGATCCTTGATCATTTTTAATTCCAAAACAATCCATGAATCATGTTATAGAAGAGAATTGATCTAGTGTATCTCACTTGTGTTGATCTAGTAGTTGTGTACAATTACGATTGATTTAATGGTGAAACTACTTTCTTACCCTTCTAATCACAATTTTCATTATCACCAGAAATGAACCCTATTATACTATTGGTAATAAAGGGTTGAGTTCCAATGAGAAACAACATTATGTGAGAAGGGTAAGAAATGATCTTCACTTTTGTATCATTTTTAATTGAAGATCAACCTTAATGAGGTATACATAATCAATTCTTGTGATAAATGCAATGCATAAGTTGACATAAGATTAAAATGATAACGCAACGGGGATATGTACAAATAATATATAATCTTGAATGTTTATTCAATTTTAAATAATAATAATAATAATAATACAATTACAGCCAAAATAAGTCATTAAATATGTTTATGGACATGGTCCAAAATATATTCAAAAGATGGTGAGGAGACCATGTGAGGGTAAGGGTAAAGTGGTCAAACCAAAGATGGAATATTCAAATTAATTAGAAAGTCAAAAATAGCATAAATTAATATCAAAGGAAAGGATTAATCTAATAAAGGAATTAGTAGTTTGAAAATTTTGAATAAAAAAAATATAATCAAGATACAAATGGTTTCATTCCTTCCTAAAAAGAAATTAGAGTTGTGAAAGGAGACATTATTGAAACAAAGAGTATGAATTCATCAAAGTTTTATCATATATTACCATATTCTCCATACTAAAGTTATATAACATTCCAAAGTATGTTTACATGACAAATGAAAGTATGGATTAACAAAAACTTTATCATAATAACACTTCTTCGCATTTTTCATTTGCCTTTATCCTGAGCTGAGGGATGACCTGCAAAACAAATTAGTATAATAATTTAGCGTTAGACCAAAAGGCCTAGTAAGTAAATTACCCTCTCACAAAAACACAACTTACTTATTTAAAACCCGAGATAGATCAAATCTGGATTTTTATATTTTCTATCGCGGTTACACCGCCATTTCATCTATCACGGTTACACCGCCATTTAGAATTCACTTTCTAAATTGATTGTTGTGTAGTACTTAGTCCTATTCGGTCAATACTATGTCCGGAGAGGAGGTTACTGTCTTACTGGACAAACTTGATCTTGTCCGGACGATACTATGTCCGGAGAAGGAGGTTATTGGACAAACTTGAGCTTATCCGGACAACACTATGTCCGGAGAAGGAGGTTAGCGGACAAATTAAATCTTGCTCGAACAACATTCAACATATGATCTTATCCGGACACTGCTTTGGCCGGTGAGGGTACATATCCGGACACTGCTTTGGCCGGTGAGGGTACATATTTGGACGCTGCTTTGGCCGGTGAGGGTACATATCCAGACACTGCTTTGGCCGGTGAAGGGCCTCATCGGACAAACTTGTCCGATGAGTTCTGTTCTTAAGAGATTTATTTGTTCCTTTGTAACGAATAAATAATATAATTCAGTATATATATACACACACACATAACCATCTTGATTCATAAAAATATTACAAAACTCAAATTAATCTTCAAAATAATCCTTGAGAAGAGAAGGAAGGTTCTAATATATATATATATATATATATATATATATATATATATATATATCGAAAAGAATTTATCAAGTCTAGCCGATGTGAGACTCTAACAATAACCTTGACAATTATTTTAATTGACGTCCAATAAGTAAAATATTTAAATTGTTATCCGAACAACAATTAATCCATACAGATAAGTTACTCTATTCGGGGCTTAATGAAAAAACAGCCCAACAGCCCCCTTTTTTCCCCACAAAGGCGTGGCTTTTTGTATTTTAATAAAAATACTTAGAAAAATTAAACGACAACATAATGCAACCATGTTATTCTTATTCCCTCTTTTGTGCGTCACTACGTGGAACCCAAGCGCACCAAGGCGTCTCGAGCCACCTTCGAGTCAGGCTCGATCTTGACTGCACCCATGTAAGCCTTCACCGCCTCCTCTTTCATGTCTTTCTTCTCGTAGCATTCCCCCAACAACCGCAACGCCGCCGCGTTATCCGCCTTCAACCGCACCGATTCCACCAGATCCGCCAACGCCGACTCAACTCCATCTCCCTTACCACTCGCTTTCACCTTAATCTCCGCCCTCTTATACAACGCATCGCCTTTCTCGCCGTCGCTCAACGACTTGACAGCCAAGGGCGACAACGCGACGTCCAACGCATCCAAAGCTGACGTCGTGAATCCTTGGGAATCAAGAGCTAATGCTTTTAGAATATGTGGTGCGGCGTCCTTTGGATTCAGCGAGATCGATTCGTCGGCTTGTTCGGCGGCTGATTTGGCTAGCTTATTGGAGGTGGTGCGGTCTGTGGTGGATCTGGATTTAGCTAAGAGTTCAGCGCCGAGAACGAAGTGGCGCTTGGCGGCGTAGCTAGTTCGATCTCTGTAACGGATTTTGTCGAAGAGATTTTGGGGAATATTTTGCATCCATAAGAACATGAAGACGGTGATGGAGATCAAAGCAACTTGTATCAACAGATCAAACTCCATTTGTGATGGAAATGAATTTCTCTCTGCGATTGTTGGGGAAGACGATGAACGATTGGATTTGGATCTGTTGAAAGTTGATTTGTAGCAATAAGTGATGGATGGGGGAATCTTGGTCAACAAGGTCGACTTTATATCATGGGTTGTACAGCATGCATAAAAACTGGTACCTTGTATATTGTCATGGTCATACCCCTTTTTCAAGTTTTCTAGAAATCAACCATTATAGCCGTCTTGAAAAACGTCGCTCTGCATCCGTGGCGTCCCACGCTAACGCTAACTACATCTCATATTTAAAACGTTACCTGAGGCTGAGATGGACGTAGTTACTACATTTCATATTTAAATCCAGATCTAAAAAGTTAACACTAGTAAAAATCGAGATCTAAAAAGTTAACACTAGTAAAAATCGAGATCTAGTAAGTGCAGGTGCTTTTGACCAAATTTCTGTAACGGTGTTTTGGAAGTGCTATTCCTTGTGGATGCGACATTGACGGTTCAAAAGTTGTCGATCAGAACATAAGGGTTTTATAATTGCAGACACAATCTGACATCTTCATCGATTTTTTATTTTAAAACAAAAGATACGAAAGCTGAAAAATTTACGATAAAACCTTTTTCGGTTATAAGAAGGAAGAATGAGGTAATGCAACATTAGGAACCATGTCTTCTCTTGAATGGTGATGTCGGTAAGTTGGTGGGATTCGTTTGGTTCGCAGCTATGAAGAAATCCGATGTAATTGGAATGTTAAATTCTATTGACAAAATTTCATTCTCTCGTTTGGTTTTTTTTTTTTTTTTTTTTTTTTTTTTTTTAAGAAATGAATCTTCAAAATCCATTGAATTCCACAAACAAAGGATTTAAACATTTATTGGCAATAAAGTGGTATTCTGATAGAATAGAATGTTCTAATTTCATAATCCTAAATATACCCCTTAACTCTATTATGTTAATATCTTCTTTCCATCACAATGATTTTTGGATTTCTCAGTGTCACTTCTCAAGTTCGATTTCTCTTTTCTCCATAGCTGCTCTAGGTTCGATTTCTCTCTACTATATGCTCGATTTCTACTTTCGATTTTTGCTCCTTATATCTTTTTTCCTCACTTGATTCACTCGTTTTTTCCTACTTGATTCACTCTTTTTTTCTACTTGTTTTTTCCTACTTGATTCACTCTTTCTTTCTACTCGTTTTTTCCTACTTGATTCACTCTTTTTTTCTACTCGTTTTTACGAATAACAAATTTTTCTACTTTATATTTTTTGCTCGATTTCTTTATAGTGACAACCTAAAACTCGATTTTTTTATGCTTGATTTCCGTTCTTGTATTAATAAACTCTTTTTTTGTTACGTTTGTTTATGTGTTTAATGCATTAGGGATGTTGTGTATTTTATATTGTTTTACACATTAAATGATTATTTTATTAATAATATTTTTACTTTGAAAAAATTAATTTTTTCAAAAAAGGGTGTTTGGGTTGTTTACCAATATTTCATTCCAATTCAAAAGCTGCATTCTGTGAACCAAATAGACAAATACCAATTCCTTTAACGTATTGCCAACCAAATATGTGGTCTAACCTGACAAAATTTCATTCCAATTACTTCAAAGTCAAATTCCTTTGACATAATCCATTACACCCGAAAACATTTTGCGAACCAAACGCTACCTAAGGGTTTTCCTCTTTCATGATGGTTGTGGGACGAAGCTGTGAGAGCATCTTCAATAGATTTTTCAAAACGGAGAAAGTGGGGATTTTGGGCAATTTTTTGCTCCAATAAATCCCCAAGTCTTGAGAGAGAGAGAGAGAGAGAGAGAGAGAGAGAGAGAGAGAGAGAGAGTAAAGTTCTCTAAATTAGGAGAGGTCTCTAAAAATGATTACCATGAAATAGAAATGATTTTTCATTATATTCCACCAATAGATTATTTGGAATGAAATGTTTATGAGAAAGAAATAATACTCAATTAAATATATGAAATATTTTAATAATATTGTAAGCTATTATATGTTCACGATACGTGTCACACAAGAATATTGCTAGGAAGTACGTAAACCCTATAAGGTAGAATACAAATGATACATTTGCTTCAATTTGTAGAAACCTGATTAAATTAAGTTGAGCATGGATATTTTATTTTTAGAGGATAATCATGAAAATATGTGTCATGATGTAATTATCATAATTACATGATAATTACATGCAATTGAAACGTCCTCTATATAGAGGTGGGTTATTATGCAACCCTTTACATTTGTACAACCAATACAACTCAATCTCAATTGTCCATTTAATTTGATGAATATGTGATCTCATAAAAGTTTAGATTGTTTCCTAATATAAAGTATTGATCATAATTAATAAACCCTACTCATCTTCCATAAATATTCAAATCATAATAAATGAACTCTCATCATTTCCATAAATATCTCAATTTATTGGGTTGCATTGGTTGTACAAATATGATGAGTTGCATTTGAAACGTCCTATATATATATATATGTGTGTGTGTGTGTGTGTGTATGTATTACAAATAATCACTAAACCTTATTTAAATTATAGTATATCTATAATTTAGACCAAAAAAAGAAGATGGTAGGCTAAATCAATTACAAATGATTGAATCTCTTAGAATTTCGCCTTTTAGAAATTATCTAGAAAAGAGACATTTTCTTTTCTGTAAAACACATATAGATCTAGGTTTCTTGGGCTAGCACCTAGTGAGAGATCGACGCGTGTTTGTGTGTGGATTAGCTATAGAGGAAACTGTTGTTGATTTCTTAATGCCTCGTCAGATATCTCGCTAGATTTTAAAAGATACAATTCTAAACACCATATGATGTAATTTAACTAAATGCATCACCAGATACGACTATGAGTTTTATGGTTTAAAAAAGCTTTCTAATTGTAACCAAATTTTAACTTTGGGTTACCTCAAAAGGTTACAAAACCATATTAAAACCCAATAAATATAATTAATAATGTAATTAAAAAAATAAAAAATATGTTAAAATCGAATGTTATTATTTTTTAAAGATTTTAATTTTTAGTTATTTATTTTAATAAAATGATGGAAGGATGGTTCAAAGGGTAACATGTATCTATGAATCCTTCAATTGTTAGTTTGGAGCAGGTGAATCATATGTTTTTGTCATTTTGGTGGTAAAATATTATTATGTAATTAGGGTTCGTTTATCAAACACTTATTTGGTAAATGTTTATTGGTAAAATTTAATACTATCATTTACTTATTGAGTAATATTTTAGTTCAACAAAACCACATCACATGCAATAATTTACCCAAGTAAACGCTTACCATGGTAAGAGTCATCGCCCTCTCTTACCGGGTAAGACTCTTGGTACTTGTCCCGCTCTTACTAGATAAATTCTTGGTCATTGTCTCGCTATTACCAGGTAAGTTCTTGATCCCTACCATATTCATCGAGTAAGATAATATGACTTGGTAAACGTTTATTCGAGTAAATATTTACTAAACGGTACCTTAGATTTGTTAAGAGTAAAGAAGTTTCTAGAATTTATTTATTAGTGTGTAGTCATATGTGGAGATTGATAGGTGAGGGAGGGGTCATAATTTAATATTAGTAAATGAAGGAGATAACTTTAGGATATAAATTGTTTTCCATTTTTGCATCCTAATCAATTCAAGTGAAAGTATCAATAGAAAAAGACTCCTTCTAATTAATGTATTGATTTTATATTAAAGATAAACTAATATATATATATATATATATATATATATATATATAGAGCGTTCGTTTCAAATGTAACTTATTATATTTGTATAACTAATACAACCCAATAAATTAAGATGTTTATAGAAATGATGAGAGTTCATTTATTATGATTTGAATATTTATGGAAGATGAATAAAATTCATTAATTATGATCAATACTTTATATTATGAAACAATCAAAACTTCTATGAGATCACATATTCATCAAATTAAATAGATGGTGGAGATTTAGTTGTATTGGTTGTATAAATGTAAAGAGTTATATAATAACCAACCCCTATATATATGGGAGATTTACTTTGTAAACCTCGTTAGTTGTACAAACCTTACAAACCTCATTTAACCAATTACAATTTTTCATTTTTTTTTGCAATTATAAGGGTTTGATTAGTCATTTTTATTGTGGATGGTGTTAATGATGAATATTATCATCTTTATTATATTAATTTTAGAGAAATACATGAAACAATTTTATTAAAATCTAGAAACAACCATATATGAAACAATTTTATCAAGAAAAGTATTGTATGAAACAGTTTCATAAGATTAAATAATTTTATGAAACAATTTCGTTAAAATAAACAATGAAATCGACGGATGAAGGTGGTTTGCACGGTTTGTACAAATATGGATGCTTTGCATTTGATCGTTCCCATATATATATATATATAAGGGCCCATTCAAGGAAGAACTGAGTTGTTTGTGGTAACCGTGAGATCCAATATCAACCATACAAATTAATAATCAATGATTAGAAAAAAGAAAAATTAATTACTGAAATTTCAAAAATAACTCTCCAATATTTAATGTGAGTATGTAAATAAGGGTAAAAAGGTCAAATTTTTTAATTTAATGAGACTATTTTGAGCGTCCTAAAAATCCGCTAATCTTCTATCATCAAATCAAAACAAAAAACACAAAAGATCCTGTTGATTGTGCGAGAAACGGTAGAAAATATTGTGGTTTCAATTGCTACCCATGGTGAAATTCTTTGGTAGCCTACAACTAAAAACTCATAAGTCATAAGGGGTTATACATTCCAATAGTTATTGATGCAGGACAAGGTGTTACAATACCAATAGTGTATTAGGTAACACAAGATGTTGTGTTACATTGTGGTAAAAAAAAATTGTGGTTTCATGTGCTACCCAAAAGATTGTGGTTTCATGTGGTAATATAAAATCAAAATTAATTGGAAGTTTAAAACATATAAAATTAATAAATAAATATTTAATCTAAATTTAGTAATTTACTAACATGCCCTTTTATGTTAATTTAAAAAAAAATAATTAATATATTAAAATGATTGGTTGAGATTGAATCTCACGGTTACCACAAACAAAATAGTTCTCATTTTATTAAGCCCATATATATATATATATACATACTAGGTTCGGACCCGTGTATTACATGAGTTAATTACAAAAATTAAGCAAAAACTGATATGTATTTTATAAAGAATAATAATCGGAGGTAATTTATAAGCTTAGACAAAGGTACAAGTCCGATTAAATTTTTGATATATAGATGCTCTTACTCGAGAATTAAATGTTACATATACAAAGGACGGCCTGTGCTTCGATGATCAGAAAAACTTCTAAATGAAGACAAACAATGTAGATCCAGTATGCAGCGCTGCGTAGTACATGCAGAGCCTTTGTAAACCTCTATATGAGACAAGCAAAGGGAATCAGAGGCTCTGGGTAGTACATGCAGAGATAGAACTCTTACTCAAGACAAGTACATAGCCTCTATGAAGTTTTGTATGAAGGACGGAGGCAGGGTCAGAATGACCCTGTAGCACCTGCAGAACCTCTGTTAAGCTCTGTATGAAGAACGGAATCAGACTTCAAGGACACAAGCGTAAAGAAAGTTTTCAGAGATTAAGACGGAAACTATCCAGAGTTACAAGTCTGAAGTCCATCTTCAGAGTAAGAGACAGAGCCTTGACGCATGACATGAAGAGACAGAGCTCTTTCTCAAGACTTAAATGCAGAACCTCTGTGCAGCTCTGCATGAAACACGGAGTCTGGTTCAGATTGACCGCATAGCACGTGCATAACCTCTGTATGAAGGACGAAATCAGGCTTTACAGACACAAGGACGAAGAAATCCTCCAGAGTTCATGACGGACAATATCCAGCGTTGCAAGACTTCTAAATCAAGATGATCAATCTGCCTACAAGTCTGAAGTTATTTTAAAGAGTTAATTGCTAAAATTAGCCAATGCTACAAGTTTGTATAAATTTTCCGTAGACAGAGGCTTTGCGTTGTAGATGCAGAGCTGCTGTGTAGCTCTGCATGAAGCACATAATCAGGCATAGAGGTGTTGCGTGGTTTCTGCAGTACCTCTCTAAAGCTCTGTATGAAATACGGAAGTTTGGTCAGAGGCTTTGCGTAGTACATGCAGTCCCTCTCTAAAGCTCTGTATGAAGCACGAAGTCAGGGTGAGAGAATTTGCGTATCACATGCAGATCCTCTATGGTTGGATAATTATAATGCAGAACATAAATGAAAAATGAGCCTCTTAAGAATTAATAATAATATGAGTTAATAAGATGAAGTTGTAAAACAATATTTATAACATAATATAAACTAAACAAATATAAGATAAATAGGTAAAACATTAATAAAATAAGAACCATGTATCATATATTACTAAACACTTCTTTGTATACAACATTCATTATTTTACTGTCAATAATATCATCATCATCATCCATAATTAGTACTTTCAAACCTTGCTTGCTTTTGATTCTGGATAAAGCAACATATAGCTGACCATGCGTGAAGACTGGTTGTCTTAGAAATAAACCAACTTTTGATAATGATTGTCCTTGGCTCTTATTAATGGTCATAGCAAAACATACATCAATTGGAAACTGTCTCCTTTGAAATTTGAATGGTATCCTTTTGTCTGTAGGTGTTAAGGACATTCTTGGAAAGAATGTACGACTTCCAATATTGCTTCCAGATATAACATGTGCTTCTATTACTCGATTTCCCAATGTTAACACCCGCAGTCTAGTACCATTACATAATCCAGATTTTTGATCAATATTCCTGAGTAACATGATAGGAACACCAACTTTTAGTAAAATATTATGGATTGATATTCCTGATAATTTAAGACCATTTAAAACATCAGGCGAGTACAAAGTTTTATCAAACTCATCATGAAGGTGCTCTGATTCACATAGCATATCTGAACTTAAGTACTCCTTTTCATCTTCTGGAAACAATGACATCAAACAATCATTTATTTCTTGAATGACTTCATTTTTTGGTGCAAGTATTGCTCGTTCTTGAAAATAAGCTGAGTTGTTGATGTTTTCAAGAATTGAGGGATAGACAAATTCGATTAATACATATATAAGATCGACGCGATCAGTAATGAGAATATCATGAGGTATCTCAATAACTGCTTCACCATCATTATCACCTACAACTTTTCCTTCTCCTAAGTCTAAAATCCATTTTGCAAAATCCCTTGTTTGTTCAATTTCTGAACTCCCACTGTTTGCAGTTAGCCTCATGTTCCTAGTTAACCTTAGGACTTTGCATTTTTCCCAAATGTAAGATGAACTTAATGATGCATTTATGATGTCTTGTCTACCTGCATTAGGAATAACCGACATAATCTGTCTGAAATCTCCTCCAAAAACAATTACCTTACCCCCAAAAAGCATATGTGAGTCACCATTGCGTTGAGTATTGAAAATATCGTTCATACTTCTATCTAATGCTTCAAATGCATGCTTATGAACCATTGGTGCCTCATCCATATTATCAAAGTAGTTTTCTTTATTAAGCTCGAACATCACTGTCTGGCTTCATGTGGCAAAGAGAATCTTCATTGAGAATGAGCAGGATTTGAAACCGAGAGTGTGCTGTTCTGCCACCGGTAAGAAGTAAAGATGCAATACCATTGGAAGCAACATTTAAAACAATTTCTCCTTTAGATCTTATTGATGCAGCCAAGGTCTTCCATAGGAATGTTTTACATGTTCCGCCATGCCCATAAACAAAAAACACACCACCTTTTTTGTTTTCAACCGCAGTCATGATTTCGTTATACACATCTATTTGCTCATTTGTTAGAGCAGTTACAAGTGTCTGAAACTCATCACGTAAATTACGATGGTTATAATCCAGTTCTTCTGCAATCAAACAGTTGTTTGAAGATTCAAGCGAATCATTATCAGGATAAGGCAGAGTAGTGAAGTTTTTCAACGTGGAATTGTTACAGAGCAAAATCTTTTCAATTTCGAACAAAGTTAGATTCTTCACTTATTCTTCATTGAGAGATAAATCTATAAGAAGATAATATAAATGTAAACAATAAATACATGGAATTAAAAGTAGATACAATTTAATAACAACCATAGTGGTTGATAATAGTTGTATAACTCTATGCTTAAGATATAGAATTAACATACCTGGCGACTGTACAATTCGTTGATTGTAGAGAATCCCATCTGCTATATTGCCATGTTTTTTCCCAAACAAATTCAGGTCTAGATAGATTGTTTGAAATCAACATGGTTGCAAATAAGAAGCGGAGACAAAAACCAGATGCAGTTAAATTTGCCTCTTCAATAGCATCAATATATTCCTTATCATCGTCTAAAAGCCCAAGAGCATAACATGCATCTCTAAAATTAAGATATGTTTTTCCATTAACTGTACGAATGTCTTCGAATGATTTAGGACCTTTGACTTTATTCAGAAGAATTCGTAAATAATATCCTTCTCCTACAGTAGAAGAAACTGAATGAATCCGTCCAATTGAGAACCTTTTTTTTCCCTTCGACCCCAACGTTGTTCGTCCAATTTCCACACAAACTTTGTAGGGAGTTCAATGTAAGTGAGTTCTCGGGCTTCTTGATAAATTTGATTACAATGCATCCAAGCTAAGAACATTGAGGACGTCACAGATGGTCTGTTTAGGACATTTTTCAATATAATAAAACAGTTACAATTTAAATTAATAAAGATAAGACTAAAGTATGAAGAAATATGTTGATACTGTTATCATAAATTGAACATACCTGCTTGAATTTTGCTAAAAAACTCATTCTCTTTCAATTCTCTAATAAGTGCATCAAGCTTGATCTTAAATAAACGACAAAGAATGTCAGACCTGTCTTCTGGATTTAGGCCTGTGTCCTTAACAAATATTTTAATTTCTGGCCATTTTGGATTGCACGTCATGGTTAGGAATAAGTAATTCCCGATTTTATGGGGATTATAACCGACGATAACTGAAATTTTGAGTTTATGAATTTATGAAAATTCTGAAGTTGTATAGTCCGTCTACATCCAAGTATGAACGTGGTGTACCAGATTTACGGCTTCAGTTATAAATTTAGATGTGAGGAAGTAACTATGTACATTTCAGTCACGAACATTTTAATGTAGACTTTAACAATTTTAGTGACTTTCCTAAGGACTAATTTTCAAATATTGACTCTCACATGACGAAGGGTAGTTTATGAGATTTATACAGATATGGAAGTCTGATCTAAGGAAAAAGTTTTCCCCCAACCCAGGCTTCGTAATGCGGATTGCAAGTATGGAACAATTTTTTGTACGTTCAAATCTGTAGGCTGAGGAAGGCTTCCCACACCGTCCGTTGTGAATACAGATTTCTAAGTTTGAAGTTGGTTCCAGATGTAAGATGGTGGTTATAAGGTAAGTGAGAGAAACTGACTCTTGAACATTTTGATATGGAGTTTAACAATTTCATGGCTTTCCTAAGGGTTAGTTTACAAATATTGACTGTCACACAACAAAAGATAGTGTATAAGGTCTATAAAGATATGGAAGTATCGCTTGGGGGAATTTTTTTTATCCTACCGAGTATTTGTAATTCAGATGTACTAAGTCTGAAAATGCAAGGATCAGAGTTCCAAGTCTGGGCACATTCAGACATACAACTCTGAAATGAAATTCAGAGTTAATCAGCAAACTCTTGGACGTTCAAGACTTACAACACATTCCATCGCCTAAAATGCACCTAAGACGGTTGTCAACCATGTGTTCGTATATGATACGACCAACCATTAACTTACATCGTAATGGTAATTAAATTTTTTTTAAAATATGACGGTTTTAAATTGGCACGCTTAATGAGTCCAATAAGTACTCTACACTTCCACGTGTCACTCTATAAACAAACCTTTTGAGTTCTTTATTAATATTTAAAACCAAATATATACTCCATATATGTGAAGCGTCATCACTCCCGCCTTCATATTTCTCATACGAACTTACCTCTTGCAATCACAGAACACCAAAGCAATCCATCAATGGCTAACTCACAGTCCAACATCCGTAAAACAATCCATAAAACAATCCATACCACCAAAACCTGCTTTGAACCCTCTTCTTCTTCTTCTGATTCTGACAATGAGGTCAACTAGGGTACTTCTATCCTGATTGGAAACATTGAAGTTGCTATCTAGGAACATGTCTCCCTTCCTTTAGGAAACCAATCTCCATCAGCTAACACCGGATTCAATCATCCGGAGTTGATTCCGGTGCCAAATGACGAATAGGTCACTGAAAAGCCTAAAGAACACAACCCTGAACCTGCTGAATCTCAAGGGGAAATTGGAGATGCTCATGAAAGCCAACCATCACAGACTGCTGCTATGTCTGTAGCTATTGCAGAGCCTGATGTAAGTCAGACTATTTTACCGGAATCTAAATATGATGTCATTAAGGAAAATAACAGTGCCCTAAATATGGACTTTAAAAAATTCAAACCCAAGCATCAAATTGTTATTGAGATGCTTAAAAGACATCCTCTGAAAAGGATGTTCACCAGAAGGTATGAAGTTCCTGTTCAATATCTTCAACATTAAGGAAAACAACAGTGCTATGTCTGTAGCTATTGCAGAGCCTGATGTAAGTCATACTATTTTACTGGAATCTGAATATGATGTCATTAAGGAAAACAACAGTGCCTTAAATCTGGACTCTGAAAAATTCAAACCCGAGCATCAAATTGTTATTGAGATGCTTAAAAGACATCCTCTGAAAAGGATGTTCACCAGAAGGTATGAAGTTCCTGTTCAATATCTTCAACAGTGGTAGAAGAATCTAACCTATGATGAGGAACAAAATGAGATTACTTCAACTGTAGGTGGATACGGTTTTTCCCTGTCCCTTGAACTGATAAGGAAGATGCTCTTCCTTCCAAATAACAATGAAGTGTTGGGAAAATTAGATTTTGATGCCCTACCATCTCAAGAGAAGATGATTAAAGACTTGATCTCATTGGGAAACAAAGATCCCTTGCCAACACTAAGCAGTTTCAGGAGGAAAGGTTTACCACCTGTTTGGTACTACTTGTTCTCCTGTATCAATCGATGTTTATCGCCCAAAGCTTCAAGCTTGGATCAAGCATCAAGACCAACATTGACAATCTTCCATGGAATAGCTTTCAACATGCATGCATCACTATTCATGGAAGAAATTAAAGCATACATTGCAAAGCCACCTGGGTACATACCATTTCAGAGATTCTTCCAACTTTGTGTGAAGGGGGCAATGCACTTACGACCGAACATTTCAGTAATAGAGGAGGAGGAGATAGCCCCACAATTCTACATGGATTCACTAAGGTTATCTACTCCTCTTTCTAATTTTATAAATCATATGCCATGGAATTGAAAACATATATTAGGAACAATAATAGGGTACTTAGAGAATATTGCGCTTCTATGGGACTGCCAGAACCAGCAAACCCTACCTAAGAATCACTTCCACCTAGGACGAGTGGTGAAGGGTCAAAAGAAAAGGGTGTTGGGGAGGAGACACAAAGGGTTATGTCTCCTAAAAGTGTATAGAGGGAAAATGTGAATGAGAGACATGGTAGAAGAGATAAAAAAAGAGAGCATTTAGAGAGAACAGGGTCAAAAAAAGAAGAGGACCATGCCCCATCCCCAAAAAGATGGGCACCCACATATGCTACCTCTCTACATTCTTTGGTGGAAGGTATTGAAAAAGGCACCGAGTCCATGCCGACACACATATCAACCCTACCCACCCACTCATCGCCTTCTCAAAAGGGCGACGTTTCACTAAACATTTTGAGACAACCAACAGATAATCCATTAGCTCCTCAGTTGGAGGAAGCTAATGTTGAAATTGAGGAACACTTGTCTCATCCTCATCATTAGTTTGCTCACATTGAGTCGGGAAGTCCATCCCATATTGAGCCAAATGCAAAACCAAAAACTGCTAATCTTCCTTTCACCAGCACATGTTTTCATGACGTACCTGTTCAGGTTGTTTGCTGCCTTAACACCTATAGACATTCCTTCTACGGATGATCAAGGATTGGGTGGAAGTCCTGGTGGAATGAACATAAAAAAAATTCCACTTCCAAGTACATTTGTTGTACATGATGCGTTCGTCACATCAACAAGCCAACCCACTCCTACTGTGGGATTGCAAACATGATCATTTGTTGATCCTGGTTTCCTATCAACGATTGTCACACAGACAGAGTTTAACAACTTTAGTGTCTTTTGTAAGAGTGAATTTGCAAAAATTCACTATAAAATCAATGAATTGACGGCTATAAATGAAATAAGAAGTTTACACGAGAAAATGACGTCAATGGAGGAAGCAATTGTGGAAAAAATTGATGGGCTTGACAGTTCTGTTCTTCTAACAGAAAATGAATTGGAGGGTGTGAAGAATATCGCGAAACCCAGCCAAACAACTCTCCACAACTTGGAATCAAACTATGTGATGAATGAAGACTTCAAGG